ATTGTAATTACTTCAATTATTAATATAATTATAATTTTATCAAAAAATAAATAAATAAATAAATAAAGAGAAAACTACTTCTATTAAGATTGAGAGAAATTGTTATTTTCTCTGAAAAGTTGGCGATGACATCGGCATCAGATTAGTAAAACATTTACAAGAACATCTGAATGTCGACGGCTCAGCTGTCAAAATAATGTTTTTTGCAAGCAAAAACACTCGATGTGAAATCTTTACAGCATTTTCTATTCGAAATACAGAAATCTGTCCATCACTTTCCCCGGAATCTGCAGCAGTTGAATTGAGTTCCATGACTTCTGGAGTGACATTGGGCAACTCCTGTAATAAGCGTTGCTGCTCAGATGGGTCCTTGAGCAGTTGTATTTCGTCTAAGCATTTACATAATGTTTCAAATCAAAGTAAGGTTAAGGTCCATCTTCAGGAAACACAGTCTGGCAAGATATATATACCCATCCTGCAAGAAAATTAATCATGAGGCAATCCAAATCATAAAACTTTTAAACTTTATTTAAAACATAAGTTTAGTATCAAATAGAAAGCTTCATTTTCCTTTCGAAGAAACCTTAACAATTAGTTTCAATAGTTGGCTTTTGGGGTAGAAAAGCTTAAACAGCTTAAGAGAAGTGCACAATATACTAGCCTATAATGTAAATCATGAAAAAGGATATTTAGCTCTCAGTCCCTTCTCATTTGCATTATCAATTTCATTCTGTAATCTGACTAGCTCTCGTTCAATCCACTGATAAATTTCCAAGTTGTGCAGAGAGAGTTAGAAAAGAAATTTCTCCCAAAAAAAAAAAATAATAATAAATAAATAAAGACACAGACAGGAAATGAGAATGTGTTAGAGAATTTATGAGAAAAGGGAGGGACTTGGAGGAGAAGGGAGACACACCGGTGGAGTTACCTCATTTGGTGAGGTCGAACCCATTTTTTTCATTCATCTTCTGCCATTATAAAGCAGAAATCACTTAATACATCAACATTACTTTTCTCACCCAATCTTTACCTAATAGAAGAAAATCTACTAAACATTTAATGCAAGATTACTTTCAAAGATTTGCTGCCATTTGTGCGGCTCCATGTGCTGTGCTTTGCTGCTACTTTGCAGCCTTTCATTTGCATTTCATTTGCTGTTCATTTCAGCCTCGTTTCATCAACATTTGCAGCTTCGTTTGCTGCACTTTGCTACTGCTCTTGGTGCAGCTCTCCCTTCATTTCATTTTGCTGCCATTTGTGCAGCTTTCTTTTCATTTGCTGCTCTTGGTGCAGCTTTCACACCACAACTCCAACAGAATGCAAATAATTTTCATACATGAGAATGCCTAGTTAATCACACATAATGCTAGAATAGAAGCCCCATTGTTAAGAAAGACAAGTAAGCAGTCCCTTAGATTAATTCATCATTTGAATTTCAATACAATCACCTTATAACTCAAATTTCAAACTCCTGGTGGAGGGAATGGAGGTCTATGAGAGTTAGGAATACATACATCCTTTGTTATATCCTCATGCAAGCATCTAGCCTTCTGTTCAAGCTTCTCTTGTCAACCAATATTGTGAAAGACTATTGAATAACCAGCTTCCAATTTTTCATCTTAAACTTCTGTAAAATCCTAATTCCTAAGTAAACCAAAAAGAACAGAAATAAATATGAAAACATCTTAGATCTTAATCTTTGCATATGATTCTTCTATTAATTTTCCACTCCCTTACTAAAAAGTTCTTTACCAAGATTTCATTTCTGTTTTTAAGGAAGGGCCTTTGAATAGAAGTGTACAACAATCTCAGGATCCAAGAGAGAGCCATATTAAAAAGTGGTAATTGCTGCATAGAACAAGATCAAATGCATTGTGACAGCAAGAACTTACAACAATAGGTTTTTTTACCAGGCCATCTATCACTTTCTGACACAAATCCTCACACAGTTCCTGTTAACAAAACACCATCCAATTTGCAAAAATCAAAGTCATGGAAAATCCCATGATACTTTCCGGGAAGAGGGACCATGCACTTGTGAAAGATAAACAGACATATCACTAGAATCAGTTTGACAAAAGCTTAGGATAAGGACTTCTTTTACTAAGCCAGAACTAAGCTGGACAAAAGTAAATCTAACCTTATTAGAATGGAAATATGCTTGTCATTGCGGAAGATATAATCATATCAATTTAGTTTCATACATATCTTACTATTATTAACATCAATATGTATTCATAATGGAGAGTTTTCCATATATTGGTTACCTCAGAGATGTTACTGTCAGACAGCATATATATGTGAACATCAGGTTCCACACAAGCAACTTGAAGGAAAACATCCCCATTTGTTTCCACATCTGGGGTTCTCTTTATGCCTGCAGGCCAATGGGCTCAAAATAAAATCTCAAAAATGAACAAGTTGTTAAAATCATTTACAAGGGAGAAAGACAACACAATAAAAGATAACAGCTACCTGTTCAACGAACATCCATGCTTCAGGTTAAATACAGCCTCAGGCTGTAAAAAAAAAAATAAATAAATAAATAAAAGAAGAAGAAGAAGTTAAATACAACCAAAACTCAACATGAAAAATCAAGATTAATAAAAACAGATGAACTACCAGTTACCTGTAACCTACAGGAGATGGTAAGATGTACTCCCTGAACCATTTCCAGACCCCTTTCTGACTCCGATGAAACTTTCCAACAACCTTGTCCTCAAAATTGTCTGACTGCATTAGTAGCTTCTCTACTAAGCTTCTTCTTAAGTACACAAGTTTGATATTTTCAGGAACTTTAGATGCTAAACAACTCTTTTGCAATTCAGTATCCACCTTCTTCTCTGGAGAAACTCCATATTTGTTTAAAGTTTTATGCTTCTTGTGTTGTGCCATGACGCATTCACCTTTCTCCCATGAACTGCTCCCTTTAACATTCTCATTTTTGCTATCTGATATTGCAGCTGCCTCTTTTTTGCCCTTGAGAATCTTATTCATATTAGAGGTATTCTTGTGTTGCATAATTTGTAATTGAACACCATGTAAATCATCAACTGTCAAGCCTTCTTCCTTCATTATTATTTCTAGATACTCTTTGAACAAGAGTTCTTCTGGTTTTTCTTCATTGATTGAATCCATCTTGTCATACAGAGAAACAGCCATAAAGTCACAAATAAATATTAAAATGCAAATAAACCCAAGTGTTGTAAGCGGAAAAGTCAAAGAGATCAAATTAAGACAATTAATATTCAATTTCATTGAAAAAAAATTATACTTCATGAGACTGTTATAAACTCAAGTATATTATGCTATCCATCACTCTTCTTTCTTTATTCCTTCCTAGCTTCACTTTTATCCTTTTGCGTGGTCTAAGAATGTGGAATGCAGTCAATTCTTTTAACTTATCCAAAAGATTGGAGAGGATTTAGATAGCGTTAATGACAATTAAAAAGGAATGATGTTGCCCCAGGAAAGGAAAACATTTGGCACACAATGATTTAAAGATAATAACATAACACTACGCGATCATATCCCGCATTGTTTTTAACATGAAGAGCTAAATCTAAGCACTCATCACACATCCCTTTCTTCTTCTAACTGGTGCAAACTCAGAACCTTTAAAGCAAAGTCCACAAACAGCATAGAGATAACAGAGGCAATGAAACTCAAGAGGATTTATCGCAATTGTAACAAGAATGCCTGCCTGGAACATCAAAATTATAATTCAGCTAGCGAGTAGTATATAGATATATATATTATGTAAGCCTTGGAGTACCCCTTGTACTCCTTTACATAAATTTCATTTTTTAAAAAAAGGAAAAAAGATACAAACTCAAATCAGGCAGAATCATTTAGAGGGAAGAAAATGTTGAAAAATTATCATAACAGACAAAGAATGCTTTTCTTAGAATGCTAAAAACTTAATATCTTGTAAGAATCAAAACTTAACTGCAAATCCAGTTGCTTCGGTACTTTAAAAATGAGTTCTTCTTTCCCACACAGCCAGGATGGTAAGCTTTCAGACAATCCCTGAAACTAGGAAGCATGAAAGTTGAGAACACATCCAAAATAAAGCTCTTATATAGATTTGTTAACTCTTATACATGCAAGCATTAATGCTGAATATATATTGTATTAAAATCCACAAAAACTAGTATTAAAAAAAAAAAAAAAAACTATCTTTGCGCGAAGCACTAAGCATGCAAGGAAGAGAGGAACAATCTGACAGAAAACATTGTCCGATCACAACAAAAGTTAGGACCAGAGTCACCAGACGGAACAGAACAGAACAGAATAAAGACAAAAAAAACAGTGACGCAATTTGAGGAACCAAACTAAAAGGTTTCAGAATCTGAAACGTCTTCAGTGCCCACTAGCGATGACATAGCAGAAGCTTTCCACCATCTTTGCAGACAAAGCACCAACTTTCTGTATTATACGGTTGATCAGCCTTCCGCTTGCTTCTCCCCATATCTCCTTCTAATGAGAAAATAAGAGTTTTCCTCTAAATCAAACGCGCGTTTTCAGTGGAAATTGAGTTTCGAGAACAGTATATTCCTGGCGTTGGCACGGGACAGCGAAGAAACTTGGTGGACGAGGATGAGTGGCTGAGAAAATTTTCCCTTAGACACTGCTTTTTTCTTTTTTTTAATAATTTTAATTGCATTATTTATTTATTTTTTTTTTTTTAACAGTTTTGTCATGGGTGGGTTCGAATCCAGGGGAGAGAGATGTGCACTTTTCAGTAGCTCTAGTCATTGGACCACATGAAGCAAGTACTATTTATCTTTTATTTTTTATTTTATCTTATTTATATATCATATAATTCAAATTTAATTCCTTTTCATTTATATATCATGTTACTTAAAGTATCGTACTTTCTCTCCCCCCTTTCCTCTTCCTTCTCTCTTATTTCTGCTTCCTTTTCCGGCGCGGCGTTTGTTTTGATCGGAAGCCTTTGAGCTTCCGAGATTTTGATGCTTGAGCCGCTGGGCTCCCCAGCCGCTCAAGCATGCTGGAGCCGGCATGTGCTCCCT